ATTAAGGATTAAGGGGTTTAACACTTTTTTTTTTTTTTAACCTAAACACTCTATGTGAACTTCAGCTCTCCTGGTAACTTGTGTTGGCAGCACGTTGCGTTTTTCATGTGATCGTTTTATTTTTGTTCTTGGTAGAAACAGAAGTTCATTAGATCACATTGCAAGTATGTAGAAGTCTACAGGGGCTCAATCGGGATAGTCTGAAACCACAATTTCTGCTTTTGTAATTCTTTATTGATCACAGTTACTGTTTTTAATGCTATAGTCACTATTTTAACACTATGTTATGCTATGTTATTTTTGGTAGGTTTAATAACAGCTAGGTATCAATGCTATACATAGTTTTAATAATACCAGCTGTTTCCTTTCCTGAGTGCATTTTCCTTGCTTTAAGCTGAATGACCGTATTCATTTTCACCTCCCACATTCTAAGGAAGGGTTGCTGAGGCCTTTCACTGAACGATGACCCTTTTTGGAAAGCGGTTGTAGCCAAGGATGCCGAAGAGCCCTTTGAATTGAGAGGGAATGTGAGCCGATCAGCTGGGCAGCTGGCTGGCCTCCAGGAGTTCTGCTCAATAAGGCACGGGCTTAATCATGTAAAGCCCTGCTTGTTTTGTGTCCCTACGGCTTGGGGCTGTGTTGGTTCTAGACCAGGTTGAAATGATACAGTGGTGTTCGTCCGGGGCACAAGGGTGCATAAGCCCAAGCCCCTCGGTCACCCTTACTGCCTAACAGCCGGCTGAAGTCAAAGGGGACCCAGCTTCCCTGTGGAAATCCTTGTGGGGTATAGCTAACAGAGGCAGGGTAGGCACAGTCAAAGCCTCGCCGTATCTACTGTCATTTTGAGCAGGACAATTTGGTGGCCCAGTGGTCCACAGCCTGTTCCAGGCCTCTGCTGGTGTATGTCTAGTTTGATAAGCGATCATATAAACGGAGTGAAGAAGAGCCCTTTCAAATCAGAGGCAGCTGAGGATGGCACCTCCTGAGCTTTGATCCCTACCTAAGCTTAATTTCTCTCCTTCCATCTGTAATTTGGGGATAATAATACGGATACTTACCCGTTTTGTAAAGCTGATGTATCAGCTGATGTTTTTACCTAGCACTGTTGGATAAAAATAAAGGGTGGGTAGATAAAAGCATACATACATTCAAGAGTTAGAGCTTCTGGCCACAGCCGTCAAGAGTGACTAACATGTTCATCTCATTTCCCCAAGGACCCTCTGCAACCATATAATGATGGCTCCAAATTTTAAAGTATTAACTCATTTCCTGTAATTAAAATACATGGGAGTGTGATTTACCTGAACAAGAAATCATGTTTCAAGCCCCTTGTGGGATGGATATTAAAGCCGCATGGAGGTGACATTAGTAAGTGGCTTTGGTTGGGGGTTAAAGAGAGGACAGAGGATCCGTAAAAGATAGTGAGATAACAGAAGGAAGAAGGTTGTTATGTGTTAATGGGAACAGTGGTCCAGATAATCATCTTCCCGTCTAATCGTCAGTCTCATTTTCCCCTCCTTGTCTGGCTCCAAAATCCTAAAAAAAAGTATAGGTCACCTTGTTTAGTAGCTAGCGAGCAGAGAAATTGGGGTAGGTGGACTTGTGATGGGAAGCAACCCAAGGGGACAGCAAACTGAACGGTGAGGCCACACTGAGCTGGAGTCTGGTGGGGTGCTGGTTGCACAGAGAGGTTTTTACTCACACACACACTGACATAGCACTTTGTTGTGCCGTCAGCAAGCCAAATAAAAGACATACATGACTGCTGCCTACTAATGAGAGGGCAGCTTTCCATTGGTGAAAGAACCATAATGTCCTGTAAAACCACAGACTATGGTTATCATTATCTAATGGAAGGATACTGAGGCTTTTAAAAGAAAAATAGCTGGGTTTTTTCTAGCCAGCTAGTTTTAAGCGGGCAACTTGTTTCTTTAACCTTGTGCCATAGCTGTTTGCCAGTGTTGTGAGACTGTTGTGGGTTTGCAAGCCCCAGACTCACTGAGGAAGACTTCAGTTAAGGGGTCAGGTCCAGCAGTGGGATGGCTGCGTTGCACCCAGGCCCACCCGTTGTGTTCTTCATTGCAGCTGGAGTCTTGTGTGATAGGTTGGGGTCAGGGAATGGGCTCCAAGGTGCTCGTCTGAAGCTGAGCAGGGGGAAGAACTGACAGTGCCTTTGAAACCAAAAAGAAAACTAATTTTTACACACTGTTGCAGTTTTAATCAACCCTCCCTGTCTACTGTCTGCTCCTTCTCAACTAACTTCAACCTTCTCATGATTAGATATCTATATAGACTGTCTCTGGAGACAGTGGAGAGAGAGAGAGGTAGCTCCAGGTTCATGTCATTTCTATTAAATGCTTGACTTAGGGGGGATTATCGACTGGAGGAGCTTTAGGAGGTGAATATTAGACACAATTGCTATCTAACAACATGCTTATGGTTGCACTGGGTTCAGATAACGTTCAGTTTCTGAGGGATTTCAAGTATTTCTATGGCTCTTAAACCTAATTAAGCAAATCAAGGTTCTGAAGGAAGTTGAGAGCCAGGAGACTTCCTCTGACTTTTGACTTTACATACCTCCTTCTGTACATAAAGTGCTCAAAATTTATAAATTCAGTAATTCCATGTACGACAATGAGGTGGGGAAGTGCAGCAGCCAAATCTGGCTCAGACACTCCTGTACAAAGAAATTCACGCCCTTTTATAAAGCTTTGTCTTCTGGAGCCTTTCCCACGATTCCTAGATTTATAGAAAATATTGTATGCAGAGCTCCCTTTCCCTGCAGGAACTTGAACTGGTTTTGTGGGGTGCTCAGATGCTGCTGCAGATCTGCATCAGCAGCTGGGAGCCCGGCTGCAAACGCTCCTGAACAGGAAAAGACGGTGGCAGTTGCGTGGTGCAGCATGCTCGGGGCCCATTGGTGTGCCCTGCCTCGGCCACTGCTGCTGTTTCAGATTAACCCAAGGATCTTTTGTCCCATGTTTGGCATAAATCTCCCTCTAACTGTGATGGCATCCTTGGGTGATTGTCATAAATAAACAGAAGGACTCGTCTTCTCCTCCCTCCCGCCTGTTTTTTTAAGCAGTGTGGGTATTTAGCAGTGAACTGTAACCAAAAGCATGATTGCACCATGATGGTGCTTTTGCCTAGAACATCATCTTTGGATTTGCAATATGACCTATGTGAGTGCCATGCTGCCATCACTGTGAAGCAGAGACCAGTGCAGATGTAGCCTCTCGGTGGTTGAGAAGGTCACTGGGCAGCAGGAGTGGAGTCCTGGGGCTCCAGGGCCCCGGTGGTGAGCTGGGTAGTGAGGGATGATCGGCATCATTTGTGGGTTTTTCCTGCCAGCCACGCTACGGCACTGTTCCTCTGATAACACGGGATTGGAAACACTCTTGGAAGTGTTATCAAAATGGAGACGAAAGGAGGATCCCTTCAAAAATTTTAGAGGCGGGGTGTATTTAATGGAACCGTTTGTGCCTCAGGCTCTGTGTTTGTCAGCACTGTGACACTCAGGTGGGAAACTGAGGCCAGAACGGCAGGAAAATTGCCAGAAACAACGTAGGAAAGGAGCTTTAGCAGGAGAACCAAAAGGAAAAAGCTCGATCTTAGATCTTGAGGATGAAAAACTGCAAAATTTGTCTAATTAAGGAATGTAGAACTAGACCGGGTGAGCTAAGGACGTTGATTTGCACATCAGGAGAAAGGAGAAGAGGCCTCACAAAAATAAAATCAGAGATGCAGGATGAAAACCAGGACAGAAGCATGGGGAATGGGATTGGAAGGGCTCAGAGGGAGGGGTAGTAGTAAAGTCACATGCTGTGTATAGACCAAGGATGGTAAGAGTAGTATAGGTCCTAATGTTTGGGTGAAAAATTGGATTACCTGTTGAGAGCCGTTGCAATGGGCTGAAGGAGACTTGAAACTAGACAGGATAGGCTCAAGCATAGAGCTGAAGGATCAGAATTCATAGCACCTTTATGCCTCCTGGAAAAAACATAGCTCAAAATACAATTGCCTAAGAAACTACTGTGAAACTGCTGCAGCTACAGTTAGCAGAACCTGACTCCCTCTTTTTAAGAAGGTGGATGGATGGATGGATGGACGGACGGACAGATGGACGGAGCGCTAGCAGGGTTTGGCTTGGAACTCACCTCCTTTGCTTCCTGCCGTGCTCATATTGGTCATGATGAAAAAATTGGCTTTGTCTTCAGTTGAACCCTTCATACACATTAATGTGTTTTAAATAATGAATTGTGCAGATCCTAATATGGGCACTAAAAACAAAGGCTATACAAATAAACGCTGGGAAAGGGCCCACAGCTTCCTGAAGACTGATAGCCAGATTTCTTTCTGCATGCCTTTTGTATCCTGTTGATGATATGATACTTTTTCCCCAGTAATGTCCAAGACACATACTGCATTAATCAGATAACGTAACTTTCCATGATCTAGCCCTAAGAAATGTAATTTAACTTTTTCCCCCTCCCTCTTTGACTCCCTTTGACAACTGACTATTTCCTAATGGTTTCTCCAACCCAAGAAATCTGGCAAAAGTTATTATATTGTTCTCAGAGCAATGTTTGTGGTGTGATTAATGTGTGATTAGCTACCTGAAGCTTAATTATGCTTTGCTCTTCCAAAGGCTTATCTGTGATCCATACTGCACTTGAATCAGGTCTTGCGAAAGCTAGTGGGAGTATGGACACCAATACAGTTAAATCTAGATATGTTTTAAGGAGTTGGGTCCCCAAGGATGGTATCCAAAACGAGCCTCACGCACATAGGACCGCACGCTCCTTCAGCTTTGCAATGACTGCATGGAAATCAATAGGCGTATTGGATGTGTGGCACTAATATGAAAAAGAAAGGAATATATTCTTGAATCATGCAAAAAATGCATTATTAATTCCACCCCCTGCCTCGTGTGGCACGTTCCCCATACTGTAGCATTATCATTAGATAAGACTGAAGACAGCTTGTCTCTTTTGCTGTAGTTGCAGGTGGAACTTGACCAGGAATATCAAGACAAATTCAAAAGACTGCCTTTGGAAATTCTGGAGTTCGTACAGGAAGCCATGAAAGGGAAAATCAGTGAAGATGGAGACCACAGTTCTGCCCCCTCTTCCCTGGCATCTGACAGTGGAAAATCAAATCATAAACCTCTGCAAAGTGAAGAGGAATTGGAAGAAGATAATCCAGAAAAAGTGTTTGATACTACTTTTTAACTGCCCAAGAAACAATCAGTGCGCCAGGGCGCACCGCTCCCCAGCTGCCCGTCTCCGCTTTCCCGATGTGAGCTGCCGCTGAAGCGCTTCGGGAGGCAGGAGGAATCTGCATTCAAGTGCACATTTCCCAAAAGGAACGTTTTATAAAAAATATTGTGCAAAGGTCTCCATTCTCATTCTTCATCTTATTATTATTCTAAAGCTTAGTGCAGTTGTAATGGGAAAATTTATATGTTAACCATCCTCTCCTTTTTTTTTCTTTTTTTTTTTTTTTTTGGCCAATTTACAATGGGTAATTTTCTGGCCATGTTCACTGTTAAGAATGTTTAATGAAGACCAGTGTATTGTTCAGAGACAAATGTGTGCAGATTTCCTTTTGAAGTGCCAGTGCAAAGTGCTCCAAACTAATACAGATCCTAGAGAATATTATAACAGTACTTAATCTTATTTGTTTCCTTCTTTATAACTGCACCTTGACAGCTGTACCATCATTTTACATTTGCACTGAAACATTTAATCCTTTTTAGCTTTGCAAGCACCGGTGGCTTGCTGTCCTGATATTATGTTTATCACACGGAAAGAAATATATTTGCTGCTGAAAATTCTTGGAACTGTGGGGACAAGAGGAAAACAGAGAGAAGAACTCTGCCTGGAGATTGTCGGTGTCTGTGTACGTCTGTGTTTGTTACACTGTGTGAGTGCATATATGTTTGTATATATATATATAGCTATATGTGCACACACATCCGTCTATATACACACACGGCATGTTTCTATTTGAAGTCGGTGTGGTCTCTTGGCCAAATGAAAAGTTTCAGGGATACGTGAATAGAGAATCTTTATGAAAGCTAACATCTGGGTTATACTGCTATGAAATAGTCATTGAATCATAAAATTCTTTTTGTGGTGTTAGTGTTGTAAATCAAAGTAGGTTTAGAATATAAATTTGATATATATTTTGCAGACTCAAAAGTATTGATTTTAAGTATCATATTTTAAGCTTACTGAATTTGATAGGATTATAAAATGTTTAGGACTGCAGTATTTGAAATTTAACAGAATCTTCCATTATTTTTAAGACTGAGGTTCAGTTTTACTAAGGTCTGAAATTTAAAAGCAAAATATAAAAACCTGATCACTGTTATTTAAAAGTGTATATTAATCCATTTAACTGACTTCTTAAAATAAGAACAATCAAAGGTAGCGTACTGTATGATATGCATGAGAGAAGTAACAGCACATTTTGAGAAATATATATTGGCGACAGAGAGACTTTGTGAAAGTCAGGATATTTGAAAAGGTAAAGAAATGCTATTCTCTGGACTCCCATACTAACAGAAATAGGAATTATGAAACATTACAGATGGATTCTTATTTGTACCCAAGCCAGTGCATAATGCTAAAGGCCTTTCCCTCGGTTGCATGGCGAAGAGGCGTCCTAGGGCAAAGGAGAGACTAGCTCAAAAGACACAGATTTGCATCGAGAGGCTCGATCCTGCAAACGCGCGTTTTCCTGCGCACCGCTGGGCTCCGTGCAGCTGTCCTGGGGAATAATGTTCACGTACATGTTTGCAAGATCCGGGCCTTACTTTGTACTAAAAAGCAATCGGAGAAAGAAGTCGATTACATAGGGAGGCATTTTAATACATCGTAACAGTTAAGTTACTTCCATTCCCTCAGGATTTTAGTACTTTAAAGTAACTTATTTTATTTAAATTTAAGCAATAAAATACAAGTCAAGCTTAAGTTTTCCGTTAGGTAATGGTGTGTGTATATATATATATAAGTTCAAATCATGGAAAACAAACAGTATTTTGATGTTTCTTTTTTAAACTTAGAGCAGAAAGAAAGAAAAATTGCACATTGTTTGGAGATCATATTTTGGATTAAACTATTCTGGTTTATGATGATGAAATTAGTGAACATGAAATTCAAAAATCTGACTTTCATCTTAATGCTATGACAGGTGAATCCTCTGTTAATCCTTGTTTTGCACTTTGAAATCAATATTAATCACTCACTGAAAACGTAGAGAGTCGAGATGTAATGCTGCATTTTATAAAGATGACATTGTCTAAATTATTAAAAGAATAAACTGATAGCAGTGTTCACAATAAAACCGAAGACTATTGCATTATAGAAACCATTGTACAGCGCAGGCTTTTCGGTAAAATCTTAGCTCCTTTGAATTTCAGTGCTACGTTCTCGTGGACTTCACTGGAGCCAGGACTTCACCACAGTCTTCAAAGAAACTTGGGCAAATACCAATTAACCTTTTATTTATATTTCAAAATAAATAACTAACTATACCGGTTGGATTCAATATACTCTCAGCTGTAGTCATTTTACAGTACGTTTGTATTTGACCATTTCCTGTACTCGCATTTTTTTATATCTGTACAGTGCCACTTTCTGCAGGTGTAAGGTAGTGTGTAATACTGTACATCTTGCATTGTTCAACCTATTTCAGTGAAACAGATATCATTTAATATTGATATTACTTGAACTAGAGTAAGATAATGAAAAAAGGGTCTTTATGATGTGCAAGTCTTGTGCCTTTTATGTATTTGCCTTGTTCTGTGTTGAATGTGTGGAAATGCTGTATCGTGGACTTTCTGCTGTATAGAATAGAGCTGTCTATATTAAACTAGGTCGTGCACTTCAGATATCTTTACACTACTGAAAATAGCTTGGTTTTGGCAGTATAAACAGAATTTTTAAAATTCTAATGAAGGCCAGACATTTTAGATTTAACATGTTCATAATTATGTTAATTAATGCTCATGTATTAGCTAAACATTCACTGAAAGATAACTAAAGGGACATCATTGCTTGCCTTTCTTTGAAATCAGTGTTGCTCTTGTACATTGTATTAATAGTGTCTGTGATTGATTAGTCCTTGATGATTTGCTTTCAAGGTAGGATGAAATATTTCAGTTAACATGTACATATTTTTCAGTTCCTCAATCTATGATTGTTTCAGAGGCATAATTCACATTTTTGTAAAAATTCTATGCAATTTTGTGGCATGATGTTTCTTCCACTTGTAATTTTATGTGCTTACATTACAGATCCAAAGGACAAATAAAAATTTCTTAACACAAGGCAGTTGTTTTCTCTGTTCATTGACTCCAGAGCCTCAGCTGACTCAAGAGACCCTCGTGACCTCAAAGACCTCACCCTGACCCCTTTGCCCCTGGGAGGGTCAGTGCCACAAGGAGTCAGGGAAGTTTCCCTGCAGGCTCTTGTGTTCTCAACAAGAAGAATAAGCAATTGTATGTGCCTGGGCATCCCCCACCCCTCCCAGCAAAATGTGCATTTGCTGGTGCTCTGAAACAAGGGAAAACCAAAAAAATTGCACGGCAGCCAACGAACTGGGAAGAAAATGTATTGGTGTACAGGACAGATCTTTGTAGAACAGCAATTGCATGATTTTCAGCCATACCTGTAAACTGCTTCAACAACTTACAGCAGCCTTACTTCTCTTCCACTGCCCCAGCTGTTTCACTAATCATCCGTGCAATTATGTATGCGCTGTGAAATGTACCTTTGCAGGGGCCTTCCACTGAGAGCATTGAAAAATAAATCTGTTCCTTTGGCTTTTGACTTCCTTTTCCCTATTTAATTTACAATGTAAAAAATTATCTCTGGGAGAAGAGATAAGCAGGTATATTAATCCAATGTACTAAGGGATATACCTATTAAAATAAATAGTCTCCAAGGCAGCTAGACTCAAGTTGCTCACTAGGAGAGGTGTGGGGAAACGGGGTCTGACGAGGGGGAAGGGCGCAGCACAGTGTAACAGCAGGCAAGGAGGGGAGGTACAGAGGTGAAAGCTGAGCCCGTGAATTCGACAAAGACTAGGACAGAAAGGGAGGCTGAGGGGGAAGCGAAATAAAAGAAAAATGGGTATGTTTCCGTCCCAAAGGAGGAGCAGTGGGGCGTGAAATCATCAAGGGCAAGGTTTGCTGAGGCCCCGTTAGCAAGCTGCCCATCGTGTAGCGAAGCAGATGAGGGAAGGCAGATGGGACCATGGGGTGGGGAGGCAGCGCGGTGGTCAGAATTTCAGGAGGGCGGGGGGTGGCAGTGACAGTGAGCACAGAGGGAAAAGCCAGGAGGCCATGGGAAGGATCGGGAAACAACCCTCGGCTCCCACGGGGCCCAGTGAGGCAGGATTCTCACAGCCGGCCGAGCAGATGACCTCGGCGCTTGTTGTACTTGGGCTGCAGGAGACTGACTTGGCTGCTGAGGAGAGAGGGTGACAGGCTGGGCTGTGTGGAAAAACTATTTGGAGGCTGACCAAGGTTAAAGATGGTGTTGCGGAGGCCAGGCAGTGGGGCCAGAGCTGCGTGTTCTCGTGCAGCTGCAGACACTACGCAAAGCAAGCCCGTTGAGTTGCTGAAGCTTCAAGTGGATTCTGCAAATGCTCCTGGTGATGGCCAGAAGAAAACCAGTCCCACTCCAGCAACAGAAGTCTGCTACTACCAGCTGGGGAAGGTGACCAAAGGATCACAGAATCATAGAATTACAGAATGGGTTGGGTTGGAAGGAACCTCAAAGACCATCTAGCGCCAACCCCCTGCCATGGGCAGGGACACCCTCCACTAGCCCACGTTGCCCAAAGCCCCATCCAACCTGGCCTTGAACACTTCTAGGGATGGGGCATCCACAGCTTCTCTGGGCAACCTCTTGCAGTGCCTCACCACCCTCAAGGAGCCAGGTAATTTCTGGCTATGGTAGTGTTACTTAATGTGAAAACAGCTAATTCCTCTCCTGGATTTAGTCCTAATCATACCCAGAAGACACCTGAATGCCAAGTGAGACCACTTCTGTGGTGTGTCCTGCCATTTCCCATAGAGTTGAAACAGTTAATGCTAACCACCCTTCCCAGCTCTGCCCAGGCATGGAGCTTCCCTAAATATGCACAGCAGGATTTGCTTGGCCCTCATCAGACCTAGTTCCTCCTCAGAGTCAGGGCCCTTGCCTTACTCTTCTCTTCT